ATAGTCAATAATAGTAAATAGTTGAAATTGAGAGGATGCAGGAGAATATAACATTTTTGTACCACGTTCATTAATTCCACCAAAGCCTGAATCCTATTGATTCTCAACTAAAATCAACTCATTGAATTAATTATCGGATGATAAATCAACACATCACTAAATCCCATCGATTCAATGGGTCTGCTCTAGTTGGGACTAGCTACAGGATTCAGGCCCCAAAGTCTGTCGCATCGATTCACAAAGGGTCCATGAACCATGCATTAAGAACTCTTGTTCTAGTTTAAATGACAAAATGTAACTTGTTAAAACACACATTTCAGATTGAAGTCTATGAGACGTTGGTTTCGGTTTCTGATAGTGTCGAATTTTTCAAAGCCACATTTCTGTAATCGGAAAAACTCTTGTTTATTGGTTTCAAGTAGCTTTTTCCTCTTTGTGTGTGTGTTAGAGTGTGATGAAACACAGCATACGTCTTTGGCCAGGGAAGGCTACATGTATGTAAAAGTGTGGTGTAGTGGTTTGAGCGTCAGACTACAACTCTGGAGACCAGGATTTGAATCCCCACTTGGCTGTGGAAACTCATTGTCTGGCCTTGGGCAAGTCACACTTTCTCAGCCTCAGAGGGAGGCCAAAGCCATCCCTCTCTGAAGAAATCTTGCCAAGAAAATCCTTTGATGGTTCACCTTCTGGTCTCCGTAAGTGAAGACACACAACAATATTGAGATCTAGCAGGGTGTAGTGGTTTGGGTGTTGGACTACAACTCTAGAGGCCAGAGTTCAGATCACCACTTGGCCATAGCAACCTACTAGATGACCTTGGGCAAGTCACACTCTCTCAGCCTCCAGGGAAGGGGAAAGGCAAACCTCCTCCGAACAAACCTTGCCAAGAAAAATCCCATGATAAGGTTGCCTTAGGGCCATCATAAGTGACTTGAAGGCACACAGCAACATGAAAGATGCTCCCTAGTGAGGTAGTCAGTCATATGGCCAGATAAAATATAGATCCAAATGTTCAAAATTTAATAGTGGGCACAGTCCTGCCAGAATTAAGGATTTTAATTAGTGTCATTAGGAAAGATGCCAATGCATACTCCATTGTCCCATTGAAACAGATAGGACAGAGAGTGCGATCCAATAAAAACATTTATTAAGAAAAAGTCCCAAGTTGTCATCGATGGGTCTTAGCTTCTGGTGAGTTTCAAACTGCAGCTTCAGATGCTAAACTCTGGTTAATCCTCCATGCGCTTCATTCTTGTATGTCTGGAATTTGAAACACTTATTAAATCATTCCACCCATGAATATAAATATTGTCTGGGTGGCTTGCATGCATATAACTGAACTAGAAAGACATACGAGAATAAGGTTTTTAATATAAAAATGATGGATAAATCTGGCATTAAAGTCTCCTCACAGATTAAAAATTAAAATCTTGGAAGAATTTGTAAAAAGTCTCCTCTGGCTAGCAGAAAGACAATAAACATGGTGGCCAAATCATCACTGTGAGGGCTCTTGGGAATATTGTAGATTTGATTTCAGTCTTTGGGGATGGACAAAGAAACACAGCCATAGGGAATCAGCTATTGCCTGAACTTTAACTGAAAGTTACCTGGTCATGACAAAAGAATAAAATCCTAGAAACTTAGAGTTGAAAGGGACCAAAGAGGTCACATAGTCTAACCTCCTGCCATTCAGGAATACACAACTCAAGCACTCCCAAAACTGTTCTTTTTACCTTAGAGAACACCCGTCCAGGTCTTCCAGTGCAATGCTATGGTCAACATCTGCCAGATGTTGATCATAGAGTCATGCTGGAGGACTTACAAATGGCTAGAGAAGTGTCTTCTCTAGGAACTTCTAGGTTCTCCAGCACAACTCTATGGTCAACTTCTGGCAGAGTTGTGCTGGAGGACCTAGAAATTCCTAGAGAGAATATATTAATCAAAGCCCCAAATAATCAAAGCTGCAAAAGTGGAAGGCCAACTGTATTCATAGTTACTGTATATACTCATGTATAAGTCTAGAAATTTAGGTCAAAAATTGACCCAAAAAAACTGAGTCGACTTATCCATGAGTCAATGTAAGTACTGTATCTTAACTCTTATTTAAAAAGAAGGTACCATCCCCTGGTGAAAGGTAAGAGTATAATCTGTCCTGGAAGCACTGACTCCCTCTACTCTTTCATCCATCCAGAGCAGGGGTAGGCAACCTTTCCCCTTTAAGGGCTGAGGGACTTCAGCTCCCAGAAGCCTCAGCCATGTTGGCCAATAGTCCCATGTTGGCCAACAGCTCCTGGGATTCTGGAAGCTGAAGTCCCTCGGCCCTTAAAGGGGGAAGGTTGCCTACCCATGATTCAGAGTGAGCACAAAGGCCTATGTCTGCGGGAATGTTGTAAGTTCTTTGACATTGTTTTGCTTCACTTCATCTTTTAGATCCTTTGCTATATGCCCCCAAGTTTTACCCTTGACTTATTCATGGGTTGTATCAAAATCCATAATTTCAGCCCCCAAACTTCCCCTTGACTTATACATGATGTCAACATAGTTGAATATATACGGTACATTATAAGTACAGAGTTTGATTCAGGACCTGATCCCCTTGATTTCCCCTTCTTCCACATATCACAGCTTGCCCCATTCATCTGGGTCCCTCAGAGGTATTTTCAGTGTGTAGGAAGGGCAACGAGGCGGTCATGGTGGTGGAGAGCTCTTCCGTCGCCAGCCTAGTTGCATGTGCCTGAATGTGAATCCTGCCCCATGTGTGATGCAGTTCAAGAGATAAGGAAGTACAGAGTTCATGACCTGCTCAGGATATCTTTGGTATTCTTTATCACTGTTCTCCTCGACGGCAGAGCGGCAGTGAATCAGATTCCTCCGAATAGTCTCAGAGCATGCAAAAGTGGCCAAAAAAGACATGAGACTGACATGGGTCAAATAAAATAGTCTCACCTAGTTTTCACAGCGAGCTGTCCGAACAATGTACAGGACAATCGGGGCTGAATCTGGGCCTTTTCATCATCTCGGGGGCTTTGATCCAGAGAAGAAAGAGTGGGGATTTATCCCAGTTTGGCATGGAAAATGAGGATATTTGTATGCGTGTGTGGACCATAGCAGTGTCGGAGTGATGCAGGGAAGAGAAGTTCATAAATATGTACATTTGTATGCATAGGGGGCAGAGGAAAAAACAAACAAACAAACCTGGAGTGGCCCCAGTTGTGTGGTCGCAAAAAATGTGATTTATCGAAATGAGGTGTATTCAAAAGAGAGAACTGTGTGTACAGTTCTCTCAAACTCATCTTAGTGTGTGTAGACAAGACCACGATTGCTGCAGATCAGGGTAACCCAAAGTTTAAACTGGATTTTCCTATCAGAGTAGATGCATCCTTGGGGGACATGCTGATAGTGGCTCTGCTTTCTTTCTTCAGTTTGGAATATTTGCGAATATCCCCTTTTGCTCACACCTTAAGAAACTTCCTGGGGGGGGGGTTACAACTCCCCAAATCCCCTAGCAATATGGCTAAGGTATTCTGGGAGCTGTCACAGCCCCAAAAGCATTTTTTTCCAAGGATTGGTTTTGCAAGGGAGCATCAGAAAATGATACACACTTTTAAAAAGCCTACTGTATATACTCATGTATAAGTCTAGAAATTTTAGTCAAAAAATTGACCCCAAAAACCTGGGTCGACTTATCCATGGGTCAATGTAAATACTGTACTTTAATTCATAAGAAAAGGGAACCATCCTCTGGTGATAGGCATGAGCGTAATGTGTCCGAGAAGCACTGACTCTTTTCTACTCTATTATCCATCCAGCTTTTAGGGTGAGCAGTTATGCCTGCCAGAATTTTGTAGGTTCTTCGGCATCATTTTCCTTTGCTTCGTCATTTAGATCCTTTGTTGCATGCCCCTAAGTTTTACCCTCGACTCATCCACAGGTCATATCAAAATCCATAATTCTGGCCCCCCAAACCTGCCTATGACTTATACATGAGGTCGACTTATAGTCAAGTATATATGGTATTTTTTTTAAGCATTGCTAGAAGAAAAAGAAGCCGCTTACCCAGCTGTATGGTGGCCATTGATTCTGAAAAGTTTAAGGACATGGGCTTGACTATCTGGATAATGGCCTTGAATTTTAGATTGAATGCATTTCAACACACAGGATTCCCAGGGTATTTGTCTATGACATTCATATGGCACGGTTTGTTTTGGAAGCCCTGACCTTATCAAATGGTTTTGGAAACCATAACATAGCCTGTAACTAAGCCGGAGCGTGTGTGACTAATGCAATCCTGCATTGCTTCCCTGTTTATCCCTTGCTTTCCTTTCCCTTTCTTGCCTCTGGTGTTTCTCCCCTTGCAGTTAAGCAATCCTAGGTTGCTGCTGCACTGCAGAAATAAAGCCGTTTAACACCACTTTAACTTCTATGGCTCATTGCTGTGGAATTCTGGAATTTCTAGTTTGGTGGGGCACCAGAGCTCTCTGACAGGGAACGTCCTTTTTCTCAAAAAGCTGCAAATCCCGGAATGCTATAGCACTGAGTCATGACAGTTAAAGTGGTATCAATCTGCATTATTTTTGCAGTGTGACAGCAATCCTAGCAATTACAAAGTGGCACACACACCAGTGGTACCACAATTAGAGACTGACACTTCCAGATATTGTTGGATTGCAAATCCCACCAGCCCTTACCCTTGGGGATGCTGGTTAAGGATGGTGGGAATTACAGCAACTTCTAGAGGGTTATGTTTTGCCGCTACCCACTGTAATAAGGGCAGCTTCTTTATCTGTTATGAAAAAAGCCTTTCTAAGGCACATCTGCAAGGGCCAAATAAAATAGCATCACCTAGTTTTCACAGCAAGCTGTTCAAATGATGTAAAGGATGATTGGGCCAAATCTGGGGCTTTTCTTCTCCTTAGAGCTTTAATTCGGGGGGGGGGTGGTGGTGGTGGAGATTTATCCCGATTTTGAGCAGAACATCCAGATATATGTATATACATGAGGACCCAGTGAGGCGTAGTGGTTAGAGTATTGGATTATGACTCTGGAGGTCAGGGGTCGATTCCTGGCTCGGCCATAAAATCCACTAGGTGACCTTGGGCAAGTCACACACTCTCAGCCTCAAGGGAAGGCAATAGAAAACCTCCTCTGAAGAAATCTTGCCAAGAAAACTCCATAATAGGTTCGCCTTAGGATTTCCATAAGTCAGAAATTATTTGAAGGCACATAACAACATGAGGATCATGTTCCATAGTGACGTCAGTGTCAGGCCAGGGGGGCTGGAGTTCAGAAATATGTACATTTTTAAGGAGGGGAAAAAAACTGGAATAGTCACAACCCTATGGCTGCACATAATCTTCTCTTCCTCAGGCTAAACATACCAGCTTCCTAAACATACGCTGCTCATAGGGCATGGTTTCCAGACCTTTCCCCATTTTGATCAACCTCCTCTGAATATGTTCCAGCTTGTCAACATCCCTCTTGAATCGTGGTGCCCAGAATTGGACACAGTATTCCAGATGAGGCCTGGCCAAAGCAGAATAGAGTGGGACTATGCCTTCCCTTGATCTAGATACTATCCTCCAATTGATGGTGCTGTCTAAGAAACTCCAACTTTTGCTTCTGATAAGGGCCATGTGTTGCCTACAATTTTCTTAGATGGTTTGTACTTCTTTCTTGATGCCCAGCCAGATTTGAATGCTCCGTATGGAAGCTGTTGGCTCTGAGCCACCCATTTCATTTTATGGTTGGTCTTATATCATTTGGATGACTGCGGTTAGTTGTGGCAACAGCTGTGCATTTGCCTTTCCCCTCTTTTCCACAGCACATTTCTCCTGGGAATATTTATGAATCTTCATACTCACTGCTGAAGACTATGCTGTTCAGGATCCTATATGCTTTTAGCCTAGCATGGAACATGTACCTGAGTACCTGTACCTGTGAATTGTACAAATGGTACAAAGGTCTTGAGAGCTCACCTGTGGTGTAGTGATGAATTAGCATCTCACCTCAACACCTACCAAAATGTTCCTGATGCAAAAACATGAAGTCTCCTTGAGAAATCCATTGTCCTCTGCCTACAAAGAGGCCTGTGACCTCATAGGAATGGAGGCATATTGGATTGCAAGAGAGGGGTCCTTGTTGAGATGCAAATGGACTTTAAATTTCCTAGTCTTTGCAAATCTCTCAATAGCATCAAGGACAGAAGGAGAAGAGAGGCCAGCCTGCAAAAGATACCCTCCACTTTCCATCTTAACTAAGGACAGAAACATCAAAATGTAGGCATCTGACTAACATCTCTGATTTTCCCCCTCCTTTTTGGTTTGTCACATCTTGCCTGATGAAGAAGAAGCCCATGGAGCTTTGAAAAGCTTGCAACAAGTTTATGGTGCACTTTGGTTGGCCAATAGAGGTGTCACTGTTTGGTGGATTTTTTGTTTGAATTAGCACCTCAAATATTGAGAGAGGGCAGTGTCTGCTTGTGGAATGATTGGTTATACAAGGAACCTCAGATCCATGACCTCTAAGAAAGCACAACTCCTTGTACAACAGTTTCCCACCACTGTAATGCCTCGGTGGGATTTCGGCCTCTTATTCCTGCAGTGCCAGAGATGGTCATGGGTAGATTCACTAGAATATCACTAATACCAAAATCCTCCTGAAACTAGATCAAGTCATCAAGGGGAATGAATCTAATATTCCCAGATATTCTGTGAGCCTGCTTGACCAAATTTGTAAAACTTCTTTGGGAAAGGTTTTCCATCTTCTGAGAAAATGGATAAAAACCAAAACCCAATGAGTAAGTAATACGTATTCCAAAAGCAGAGGAAAAAATAATGGTCCTTTTTTTTTCACCAGTCTGCTTGGAGGACCATAATTTTGTAGTTCATATTAGAGTGTGTATGTGTGTGCACGCATGCTGTTGCTTTGATTTGACAACAATGAGAGCATGGATTCCTTCGCCAACTTTTATATTTACATTTCCCCTGCTTTTGAGTGTATGGTCTCAGGAAATCCAAAAGGTCAGAGCTGTGGGTGCAGTCTGGTATGCTTTATATAACTAATGCACATATTTATTCAACTGGGCACAAACAAACCTATGTTTTGAGTCGGCATAAATGCAAGTACTCATAACAGTAAGCCCAAATATAGATGTGTCAGGCTGGGGGACTGGTTTTTCAAAGTAACTCCAGGGGAAGGAAAGCAATAGGTTTATGCATCAAAACCTAAAAGAAAAAACCAAGTTTTCTTGGGTTGATTCTTGGGGGAGAGAGTCCAAAAGCAACCATTGCTTTTATGAGTATCAGAATCGTGAAAAGACAAGAAAAAATAAAATTGTAGAGTCAAGGGCCATCTAGTTGAACCCTCTGCCATCCAGGGAGTATACAACTAAAGCATTCCCAAAGGCTGGCCACCCAACCTCTGTTTAAAGACTTCCAAAGGAGAGTCCACTGAACATCTCTTGGAGTCAAGAAATTCTTCCTAGGTGGAATATCTTTCCTTGTAATTTGGAGCAAATTTATCCTTATTCTCCATGAGTCTACCATGTCTCCCTTTGAAGCAACCCAAGTTGGCTGCCATCTCTGTACAGGTAGATCTCAGTTAGCAAGCAGATACGTTTCTGGAGGTAACTTCATTAACAGAAAATTTGGTCCCAGAGACAAAAGTATCATGGAAAGAATAGTAGTAGGTTTCTACACCACAAAAAAAGAAGAGCAGTTCAGTATATTTCATCAGACATTTTATCCAAAACTAACAATATGCCCACGTGAAATAAAACAACCAGGTCAAACAAGCCGTGCATAAACAAACAAAAACTCTCTAGAGGCCACTTGAAGGCTTCATCCACAATCCATCCAGGGATGACTTTTTCTTTCACCAGCCTTGACTTCTCTTAAGATCTTTATTTTGTTAGCCAAACTTACAGATTTGAGCTTCCTCCCCCTCAAACATACTGAGGCTATTCTGCTTTCCTTCTTTTTCTCTGTTGTGTTCATGGATACTCAGGGATTCTGGTGGTAGGTGCAGTTTACCTTGCCTTGCAGTAGAGAAGAATGTGATTTGGTCCCAGCAAAAAGTTATTGCATTATTTACCTCAAACACATGGCTGCAACCCTGCACTAAAATTCTGTGTTCATGCAGCCCTCCTTCACCTTCCCAATGCTGATGCTCTCAAAATCTTTTCTGCTGCTAAAAACCCATCCAGCTATAATCTTAATCCAAGAGGCAAGGAACCATAAGCAATACATTAAATAAGCATTGGAGAGAAAAATCCGTGCCCTATCAAATTTAGGATGCAGTCTCCAAGACCTGCAGATGGACATTTCCTTAAAAGGATTGATATCTGATCTTGAAAAAATTGCAGTTTTTGCCCAATCTCTTAAAAATCGAGACAAGGCATTAACACTGCCTGCAAATAAATGTTGACCAGTTGGCCTTGAATCTCCTTTTCTCTGCTCACTTCCTTCTCTACCTCTGTTTCAAAAACTGAGCAAATGTTTTGAAATACTCCAGTGAATGTTTGCGTCCAGTATCGCCTAACGTTTGCTATCTGATGTGGTTCTAGGGTTCCAAATGCTGGGATACTTTTATTAGAATTTCTCTCTGTTGCTGGGTTAGATGTTAGATCACTCATTACAAGAGGAAGCGAGCAAGTTGGGATGTCTGCTCTTTTTCGTTCTGGAGTTGATTGTTTCCTTCTGCCATATCACAGGTGACTCCAAGGAATTCTTCCCGCATTGCCTTTGCGTTCTTAATCTCTCCATGACTTGTTTCCCTCACTCCAACCCCCAGACAACAACTGAACACTGCATCCAAACAAGATCTCCTTGAGTTTCCTGTTTTCCTCTCTTCTGATTCACAGGGGTCAAGCTGATAATACTATAGGAAGCAGCTGTATGCTAGCTCAGACCATTTGCTCATTGTCTGTTCTGCCTGGTCAAGAGCAGTCTTACCTATTCTCCACTACCAGATTTTAAGAAAGTTTTAAATATACTTAGCAATAGCAATAGCCTTTACATTTCTATACCACTTATCAGTGAACTCAGCACTCTCTAAGTGGTTTACAATCCATAAGCCAATTGCCCCCAACAAACTGGCTACTCATTTTACTGATCTATGAAAGGATGGAAGGCTGAGTCAACCTTGGAGCCCTGCAGGGATCGAACTCACAACCTTGTGGCTGCAGGACTGGCATTTAACCACTGCGCCACCAGGGCTACTTACAATAATATATTTTATTAGTTTGATATACGTTATCGTATATACAATACATTATCAAAGATACAATACACAGACCATTTTACAACAGACAAAAATGTCCCCTACTCCTGCCTTCCCTCCTCCACTCACCCATACTATAAGACATTCACATGTGATAAACATCAATAATCATAAACCAAGATAAAAAAAATTAAGCACACACTTCCCAATAGATCAAAGTTTCAACCTAAGTTCTGATTCTTTGAACATATGCCTTTCTTTCAAAAACAACTCCTAAAAGGAACACACACACACACAAAATAAAAACAGCAACAATAATAATAGAATATATATGCCTGATATTTTATTATACATTAACTATTCATTAAGTATTAACTGTTCATAGAGAACTTAATCATATGGTGGAGAAAGGTAACCAAAAAGTGTGGAAAGACAAGAATAATCAATGTTTATACATATCTAGATATATACAGTGTCTTATTTCATTGTGCAGAAAGCACAGGAAAAAAGACACTTTTTTTGCACAAAAAGGGTTAGAATGTGAATTTTGTGCAGAATAAGTCCCAAACACCAAAGAGTCTTGTCAATTCAGGATTCTCATTGTCACGGTTTCCCAACACTGTTTTTAATCTTCCCATCCCTACTTTAGAATTTCCCTATCTATAAATGGTCTGTTCCTCCATAAGAGCCTCTCCTCCCCTTTGGGGAAGGACTGTGGCAACATGGGCTTTGCATGAAGAAAATGCCAAATTCAATCACCAGCTTCTCCACTGAAAATGATCAGGGGGTAAGTAAGGCAAAAGACATTTCCCTGAGGACCTACTGTGGTTTTTCCAGCCAGAATACAGAATATTG